ATATATATTTATATTTATTTATTGTGGCAGTGCGTGGCAATGACATGGTGTCATTTGGCAATATAGTCACCCAGGACCAGGAAGTTCCAGAAAGCGCAAACGTTTACTGGTTTACTGGGAAAGAGCTGGCTTTGCAGTTCTTTCCAGGTTTTCCGGATTGGGCATGGGTTCCTGGAACTGGGAGATTTCAAAGAGCATTGGGAGGCAGGAAATCTCCATTCCGGTGCTTGGACTTTAGTAGTGACCAGCAACGAGTGGTTGTGCACCTGGGCACAGCCCTTATGAAGAGACTGCTGGTTAATGTTCAGGGTTCCATCTGGGAGACAGAGGAGGTCTCTGTGCAGGGCTCAGGAGGTTTCCACCCTGGAACCAGTCTGCTTCTGGCAGACTGAGGAGCATATGACCAGTGTGGCGAAAGATTAGCCGGTGTGGCAGGCGGTTTGGATGCAGCCCGTGTTGTAAACAGACAACCTAAAGTCGGTAAGACTTTGAAAGTATTATTTTGGCTGAAGAAAAGCTGTACGTTATGTTTGAGAACCCCTGCGAAGGAAAACCCTGTGTGGACTTTTTAGTTGGATTCAATAAAAGTGGGCACAGAAGCCCTTAAAAAGAAGTCATAAGCGAGTGGAAGAGTCCTTAATACCATTTTAAGCTAAATCTCACAATATATACACTGAGTGGCTAGATTATTATGACCACCCCATCAGTACTTCGTTGGGCCACCTTTTGCCTTCATTACTGCGGCGATTCTTCTTGGCATTGACTCCACGAGAGGGTGAAAGGTGATGCGAGGAATCTGACACTGCACTGTTGCCCTTCTGTTGTCTTGTACCAGTCTTGCCCCTCCCCCGTTCTGCCCTAACATTGACTAGTCGCTGACGGCCACAATTCGCACGTTCAGACCCAGATTTTCGGCTGACAGTCCGGTCTTTAAACACTTTAACAACAGCTGCTCTTGAACATGTAACGAATTCTGCTGTTTTGCTGATACTCGCTCCATGGCTCCGAGCGCCAACAATCATCCCACGTTCAAAGGCTGTTACATCGCGTTGTTTCCCCGTATCTTCAGAAACAAATCACTTCTACTGTCGTGGTAACCAACCCGCTTCCCTATTTATAATGGTCTGGCCCTCTAGCAACTTCAGCGCCAAATTATAGCTCATAGATAATTTACCTACAAACATCAGGTGGTCATAATAATCTGGCCACTCAGTGTATATATTATGCTCCCAGAACACTTTGGAGGTGTGTATGGTTTTTGCTCACACCGGCCCCCCAAAGTGCCCTGAGAGTCCCCTGAATGTCCTGTCTTGCCCTAATAAAGATTTACTTTCAAAACATTTATTTGGATTGTACACTTTTAAGGTTGAACCTAATCAGGATAAAGGAGATGACACGACTCTGAACGGAATCAAACTGTACTGTGGTGAACCCGCCAGAACTGACGTGAAAGCTATGATTACTTCTACAAAAGGACAGTAAGTCTATATACCAAGTGTAGGTGTATGTCTGTTATAGAGACCTCCCAGAAGCAGGGGTGGACTGAGCATTCGGGCACTTGGGCACTGACTCTGCATCTGCCCCTACTGATCCTCCACATCTGCCTCTACTGATCCTCCACATCTGCCTCTACTGATCCTCCACATCTGCCCATACTGATCCTCCACATCTGCTCCTACTGAGCCTTCATATCTGCCCCTACTAATCCTCCACACCTGCCCCTACTGATCCTCCACATCTGCCCCTTCTAATCCTACTCCTACGGATCCTCCACATCTGCCACTACTGATCCTCCACATCTGCCCCTACTGATCCTCCACATCTGCCTCTATTGATCCTCCACACCTGCCTCTACTGATCCTCCACATCTGCCCATAATGATCCTCCACATCTGCTCCTACTGATCCTTCACATCTGCCCCTACTAATCCTCCACATCTGCCCCTACTGATCCTCCACATCTGCCCCTACTAATCCTCCACATCTGCCTGTACTGATCCTCCACATCTGCCTGTACTTGATCTTCCCCATCTGCCCCTACTAATCCTCCACACCTGCCCATAATGATCCTCCACATCTGCTCCTACTGATCCTTCACATCTGCCCCTACTAATCCTCCACATCTGCCCCTACTGATCCTCCACATCTGCCTGTACTTGATCTTCCCCATCTGCCCCTACTGATCCTCCACATCTGCCCCTACTGATCCTCCACATCTGCCTGTACTTGATCTTCCCCATCTGCCCCTACTAATCCTCCACACCTGCCTGTACTGATCCTCCACATCTGCCTGTACTTGATCTTCCCCATCTGCCCCTACTAATCCTCCACACCTGCCCATAATGATCCTCCACATCTGCTCCTACTGATCCTTCACATCTGCCCCTACTAATCCTCCACATCTGCCCCTACTGATCCTCCACATCTGCCTGTACTTGATCCTCCACATCTGCCCCTACTGATCCTCCACATCTGCCCCTACTAATCCTCCACATCTGCCCCTACTGATCCTCCACATCTGCCCCTACTAATCCTCCACACCTGCCCCTACTAATCCTCCACATCTGCCCCTACTGATCCTCCACATCTGCCCCTACTAATCCTCCACATCTGCCCCTACTAATCCTCCACACCTGTCTCTACTGATCCTCCACATCTGCCCCTACTAATCCTCCACATCTGCCCCTACTAATCCTCCACACCTGCCCCTACTAATCCTCCACACCTGTCTCTACTGATCGTCCACATCTCATCTTTACCTACAAACATATCTGCCCCTACTAATCCTCCACACCTGCCCCTACTAATCCTCCACACCTGTCTCTACTGATCGTCCACATCTGCCCCTACTAATCCTCCACATCTGCCCCTACTAATCCTCCACACCTGTCTCTACTGATCCTCCGCATCTGCCCCTACTAATCCTCCACATCTGCCCCTACTAATCCTCCACACCTGTCTCTACTGATCCTCCGCATCTGCCCCTACTGATCCTCCACATCTGCCCCTACTGATCCTCCACATCTTCCCCCACTGATCATCCCCATCTGCCCCTTACTGAGTTTAACAGGGAGTAGGGGAAGGGGGGTCAACAGTGTAAGAGAAGGGATGCAGAAGGTGTGAAACTTAACAGTATTGGAAGAGGGTGGAAGCCATCAAACCCTCTTCTAAAACTGTTAATTTCTCTACCCGCTGCATCCCTCTTCCTAAAGTGTTTACCTCTGCACACCTGATGTGGTTGCAGAGGCTGCAGAGGTGGGCAGGGTAGGAAGAGGGATGCAGGGGGTGCATAGGTGAATAATGTAAGAAGATGGATGCAGGTGGTGCAGAAGTAAGTTGTGTAGGAAGAGAAATGCAGGGGGTGCAGAGGTGGGCAGTGTAGGAAGAGGGATGCAGCGGGTGCAGAGGTGAACAGTGTAGAAAGAGGGATGCAGGGGGTGCACAGGTGGGCAGTGTAGGAAGAGGGATGCAGGAGGTGCAGAGGGGGTCAGTGTAGGAAGAGGGATGCAGGGGTGCACAGGTGGGCAGTGTAGGAAGAGGGATGCAGGTGGTGCAGAGGTGAACAGTGTAGGAAGAGGGATGCAGGGGGTGCATAGGGGGGCAGTGTAGGAAGAGGGATGCAGGTGGTGCAGAGATGAACAGTGTAGGAAGAGGGACGCAGGGGGTGCATAGGTGGGCAGTGTAGGAAGAGGGATGCAGGGGGGTGCAGAGATGAACAGTGTAGGAAGAGGGATGCAGGGGGTGCAAAGGTGGGCAGTGTAGGAAGAGGGATGCAGGAGGTGCAGAGATGAACAGTGTAGGAAGAGGGATGCAGGTGGTGCAGAGGTGAACAGTGTAGGAAGAGGGATGCAGGGGGTGCAGAGGTGAACAGTGTAGGAAGAGGGATGCAGGGGGTGCACAGGTGGGCAGTGTAGGAAGAGGGATGCAGGGGGTGCACAGGTGAACAGTGTAGGAAGAGGGATGCAGGGGGTGCAGAGATGAACAGTGTAGGAAGAGGGATGCAGGTGGTGCAGAGGTGAACAGTGTAGGAAGAGGGATGCAGGGGGTGCAGAGGTGAACAGTGTAGGAAGAGGGATGCAGGGGGTGCACAGGTGGACAGTATAGGAAGAGGGATGCAGCGGGTGCATAGGTGGGCAGTGTAGGAAGAGGGATGCAGGGTGTGCAGAGATGAACAGTGTAGGAAGAGGGATGCAGGTGGTGAATGTATATGCAGGTTGGGCTTGTATATGGGCGGAGCACAAGGTAACCCTATACTCTCGTATTGCCTGGGGGCCCCATGTGCTGTCAGTCTGCCCCTGCCCACACATTATGCCATTTAAAGGCCAATTGATAAGGAACTAGTTTTTTGGGGGGAAGAATGTGCTAAAACATGTATCTTAGGACCTACTTTATTTTTTCAGTTCTGTACAGAATGGGGAAGAATTAGATGACCTGATGACCTGTGTTACTGGGACAGAGAGTGAAGGAGACTTGAAAAATGTGAATCGCCACCAGAAACAGGAATAGAGGGGAAATCTTACAATGGGGACACTCGGGAAATACAAAGTGCCGGATTTAAGACGCACAGGCGGCCCCACAGGTGGAGCTTACACCACACTCCATCCTCCTCCACAAAGCACAGCCAATGCCTTTTATCATTTCTTACAGGAAATGACCACTAAACCCGACCTCTAGGCCGTGATAATATAGAAGAAGTTTACAAACTTCTACTCTATCACAGAGAAGAAAAAAGATTCAGACTTTTAAGGTACTCCAGGGATCACACAAGTGTACTTTTTTATATATAAAATGTAACACATTTTTATTTATAAACGTATCTAAAAATGCATGATTTTAAAAGAACAGAAAAAAGTGTCTAAAAAAGACCAAAAGGATGTAGCCGCATCCTCCCACAATTTTAACATTACAGTACTTTTTACAGTTTGCTGGCTATCAGCTTCCTTATTTAATTGAAGTTCAGTGGGAGGAAAACAAATGTCTACGCGTTTCGCGGAGATCCGCTTCTTCAGGAATAGGCTACTGTCTTTCTACAAGAAATGTATATTTTAGAAGACATGATTTCATTATATAAACACATTTGATGACTAATGCAATTTGTTTAGTTCAATGAACTTACAATAATCTCTCATCAATGTACCTCCGACACAACAACACATGGCGGAGGTACATCGAATACAAGTCGCACTGTACCTGGTGGTAGTGTTTCCCATCAAAAACAAAGACATGCTTTTCCTCGGGCTGTCTGCGAAGGAGGCAGACGCACCGAACCGGCACCATGGTGGCTCTAAGACCTCTCAGAAAGCCCAAGATTGTCAAGAAGCGGACGAAGAAGTTCATCCGCCACCAGTCAGACCGTTATGTCAAGATTAAGCCAAACTGGCGCAAACCCAGAGGTATCGACAACAGAGCCCGCAGGAGGTTCAAGGGTCAGGTGCTGATGCCCAACATTGGTTACGGTATCAACAAGAAAACCAAACACATGCTGCCCACCGGGTTCAAGAAGTTCCTTGTACACAACGTAAAGGAACTGGAAGTTCTAATGATGAGCAACAAGTCATTCTGCGCTAAAATCGCTCACAACGTCTTCTCTAAGAACGGCCATAGAGCAAGACCATTGTAGAAAGAGCCGCGCAGCTCGCCATCAAGGTGACAAACCCCAACGCCAGACTGCGCAGCGAGGAGAACGAATAAACATCTGTAATTTTGTTAAATAAAATGAAAAGTGAAGAAAACAAAGACATTGTGTGTCAAAATATAATGGAGTGGTTGGACAAAAAAATTGTTCATCCGCCATTGTTCCGCCAATGATGGTCTTTTTTAGACAATTTTTTCTGTTCTTTTAAAATCATGCATTTTTAGATACGTTTATAAATAAAAATGTGTTACATTTTATATTAAAAAAGTACACTTGTCTGATCCCTGGAGTGCTTTTAAAAGTCCAAATCTTTTTTCTTCTCTGTGATATAAATGATTAGGTTGCGGTACTCCCTCTCTATGCATACCTCATTGTATGAAAATAACTAATCATAAACTTCTACTCTAATTTAAAGGAAATTATACATTAAAACAGAGATGTACAAATCCCGGGAGCTCCGTGTTCTCCTTACAAATGACAGCCGCCTCCTACTTTTTTAGTTTTTCTCCAGTCTAGTCTTGGAGCTCAAAAGTATCTGTACTTGGTATCTGTGTAACCATAGAAATTAGCCAAAACCCAATATGTTTTCCCCAATACATTCCTATCATTAATGGAGAACTATGGGGTCAGTGTTTTTCCCCATAGTTCTCCTAAGGGTCACGGGAGAACACAAACTAGCGTCCTTCCGTGACCCCAAAGCTCAGTATACCACGAGCTACATCTATACTGAGACGCCGCAGCCGGGACAGATCCCGATATTACTGTCGAGATCCACCCAGCTGACAGCTGGCTCTGCCTATCTAGAGGCAGAGCCAGCTGTACCCACCCCACCCCCCCTCCGTTCCGCCAGTCAGCGCTGGAGGAGTAGAGCGGGGAGGGATCCCTGCAGGGAGCCGTGAGTGACAGTCACGGCTCTCTGCAGGGACAGGATCGAGAAGTGAGCGAGCGATGGTATGTGTTCCCTCACTTCCCGATCTTTTGAGCCAACGTGTGACAGTTTAATTATCACACATTGGCTCCAACTATGGGGATGAGTGAAGATCACTCACCTCATAGTTCTCCTTTAAACTGAGACCCGCTGACCAGTATGTATGCAGTGTCTTATCCTGTGTCTCGCTCTACAGATGGGGAAGTTGGACGGACATCCAGTGGTGCCCTTCTGGGAATTTCATTAGCTTCTCTCTGAAAGTTGAGCCGCCCATTGATGGTGACGATACGGCAGCCAACAACATCATGTTCCAGTGCTCCGATCTGAAAATCCTGAAAGGGTCCGGTGGTGCTTGGGGAGATTTTGGAGAGTGGAGTGAAATCTGCTACGGTGGAATTTGTGGCATCAAGGCCAGAGTGGAGCGTCCCCAAGGAGAGGGAGACGACACGGCTCTCAATGACGTCCAGTTCTTTTGCTGCCAACATAATTAACCACAAATGCAATTAGTATCAGATAGTTGTGAGTCCATTTCAATTGAAAAGGCAAATCCAGGCCATACAGTTGCTAGCTGCACCTAATGGGGTGCAAACGGTAAACATCAACAGGCAGCACTTGGACGATGCTCAGTTAGTATTACATTGTAGCCAAACCCAAGAATAAAGGTGTCACATGTGGCAGAATAGCAGTCCTCAGATCTGGTGGTTGCATCCATTTTCTTCTTTTCAGGATTTCAAAATGTTCTTTTCACCTGGTGATCCCACCAAGTCACACACTTCCTGTCCTAGGGTGACAACACTCACTCACCATAATGTATCTATATAGGAGCCCTAGGACAGGAGGTGTGTTAAGACTACAAATCACTTTTACACAGTGCTTTACATACTGCACATACATCCATGGCCTGAAGGAGCTTACCATCTTAATTCCCTATCTCACATACACACATTTATTAAGGCCAATTTACCTACAGCATGTCTTTGGAGGGTGGGGGAAACCCACACAAGCACAGGGACTTGGAAGCAACTCAATTCTTTGAGCCTCTATGCCCAACGGTATATCCAGATCTTCTGATTTACAGCACAAATACATTCTATTAAAGTATAATTTATGCCAAACTTTATATAGCCATTTCAGGCTTGTTGGTCATTAGACATGTGCGATTCGTTTCGTTACGAATCGAAATTCGTACGAATTTTCCTGAAATTCGTAAATTCGGAAGCATACGAAATCCGAATTGCAGTTTCCGAATTATATCCGAAATACGAAATTCCGTTAACGAATTTCGGATCCGAATTTCTTTGAAACAGGAACTAATATTACCCCTGTAAATGAGGTTGAACAACATGACAAGATTTTTTTTAAAATCCGAAATACGGATCCGCTGCTGCTGAGGGTTGCATTACAAAATACAGGCAGGAAATACGAAATTCCGTTGACGTGTTTTCGTTCCGTTACGAACATTCGTTATATTGAAGTTAAAAAGCAAAGTACATTTATATTGGAGTTGATGTGGTAGTTTTTTTTATCCGAAATACGAAATTCGGATCCGGAATCCGTTAACGGAATTCGTATTTCGGATAAAAAAACAACTACCACATCGACTCCAATATTAACAAAGGTATTTTTGCTTTTTAACTTCATCATAACGAATGTTCGTACAGTTACGAAAATGTGCCGAAACTAACGAAAATTCGTATTTCGTACGAATCCGAATTGAGTTTCGGATACGAATTACGAAATACGAAATAATGGATATTACGAAACGGAATGAATTTTTTGACGGCGCACAAGTCTATTGGTCATCATCAGTGCAGTGCTGGAAAGCAATAGTTCCTGTGGAGTAGGACACAAGGACTAGTGATGAGCAAACTGAGCAAGGTTCAGTTCAATGGACGTGTGCTGAACAATGAAAAATTTAGTTCAAGATCCCCAAACATAACGCCCGAACCCTTATTGAAGTCTATGGGAACCCAATCTTGCCATTTTTTTTGGCCTTTTCAAGGTCATTTTGCAAGTTTTTGTTTAAAAAAGTTTGGATTCTTGAATAGGGATGAGCCGAACACCCCCGTGTTCGGTTCTAACTCGAACTTTCCAACATGGAAAAAGTTATAATTCGAACTTAGAACTCAATGCAAGTCTATGGGGGTAGAACTCAGAAATTTAAATGTCCCCATTTTGAAGCCTTATATGCAATTTATTGGCCATAAAAAGTGTATGGGGATCCGGGTACTGCCCTGGGGGACATGTATGGGGATCCGGGTACTGCCCTGGGGGACATGTATGGGGATCCGGGTACTGCCCTGGGGGACATGTATCAATGAAAAAAACACTTTTAAAAAATACCATTTTTAAAGGAGCAGTGATTTAACATCACTTAAAATGAAACATTAAAAATAAAAAATTCCTTTATATATGGTGCCTGGGGGGTCCCCTTTCACTGACCGTAAAGTGGCACATCTGTATGAGGTATAGAACCTGCTGAAGCAAAAATGACATTTATATACATTTTATTGATATTTATATAGAACTCTAATATATACAGAAGTCTGATATATAGAAGTCTGATATACAGAAGTCTGATATACAGAAGTCTGAGATTATATATATACAGAAGTCTGAGATATATATATATATATCTCAGACTTCTGTATATCAGACTTCTGTATATATTAGAGTTCTATATAAATATCAATAAAATGTATATAAATGTCATTTTTGCTTCAGCAGGTTCTATACATCATACAGATGCGCCACTTTACGGTCAGTGAAAGGGGACCCCCCAGGCACCATATTTAAAGGAATTTTTTATTTTTAATGTTTCATTTTAAGTGATGTTAAATCACTGCTCCTTTAAAAATGGTATTTTTTAAAAGTGTTTTTTTCATTGATACATGTACACATTGATACATTCCGGCAGTACCCGGAATAAATATATACATACAGAAGTCTATTATAACTCTCTATCAATCTGCTGTAACTAACTATACTAGAACCCTCTCTATCTCCTACAACACACTACATAGGGCCGCGGTGTCAGCAGCCTTATATAGTGTGCTGCAGGGACTTAGCTGTGAGACATGATTGGGCAGAGTCATCGTGACTTTGCCCAATCATGGCTCTATGTTTGTACTGAGCCCTGATTGGCACAGTCTTGCACCTGACCTGAGGTCAGGTGCAAGACTGTAGCCAATTACCGTTTCGGACGGCGCAGTGCATTGTGGGATGTACCGTGGTCGAACAGACCGCGGACATCCCATAATGTTCGGCGTTCGGCGAACGCTCGAACATGCTGTGTTCGAGTCGAACATAGGTTCGACTCGAACGCGAAGCTCATCCCTATTCTTGAAAGACTCTTTGATGGGTTTCCTAAAGTGAGTTGACAATTGCCAGATGTTTCCCCTCTCTCCCACTCTGCTCCGGTGGTGCAATGGTTTTCTTTGACACACATACCACTTACCTAGACATTGTTGCTGACTAAATACACCCCTTCATAGACACGGTATTCCATGATGGCAGTGGCCACTTTCAGCAGGATAATACGCCCGGCCACACTGCAAAAATTGTTCAAGAATGGTTTGCGGAACACAACAACAAGGTTGAGGTGTTGGCTTGGCCTCCAAATTCTCCAGATCTCAATCCAGTCCCAGGAAGAAAAACTGGTAAACTGGCGACAGGGTCATGGGCGGCCAAGATTCACTGATGCACGTAGGGAGCTAAGGCTGGCTCGTGTAGTCCGATCCAATAGAAGACATACTGTAGCTCAAATTGCTGAAAAAGTTAATGCTGGTTCTGGTGTGATGCTTTGGGCAATGTTCTGCTGTGAAACCTCGAGTCCTGCCATTCATGTGGATGTTACTTTGACATGTACCACCGACCTAAATATTGACCAAGTACACCCCATCATTGAAACAGTATTCCCTGATGGCAGTGGCCTGTCTCAGCAGGATAATGAGCCTGGCCACACAGCAACAATGGTTGAAGAATGGTTTGAGGAACACAACAATGAGTTTGAGGTTGATGACTTGGTCTCCAAATCTCCAGCTGTGGCAGGGCGCATTATCCTGCTGAAAGAGGCCACTGTTATCAGGGAATACCATTTCTATGATGGGGTGTACTTGGTCAGTGACAATGTGTAGGTTGGTGGTACGTGTCAAAGTAACATCCACATGAAGGGCAGGACCCGAGGTTTCCCAGCAGAACATTGTCCAAAGCATCACACTGCCTCCGCCGGCTTGTCTTCTTCCCATAGTACATCCTGGTGCCATCTCTACCCCAGGTAAGTGACGAGGTGTTCAGACACCTTTATATCGGAACCAGCATTGACTTTTTCAGCAATTTGAGCTACAGTATCTCTTCTATTGGATCGGACTACACGAGCAAGCCTTAGCTCCCTACGTGCATCAGTGAACCTTGGCTGCCCCATGACCCTGTCACCAGTTCACCAGTTTTTCTTCTTGGGACCACTTTTGATAGGACCAAACCACTGCACCACAGGAGCTGCTGTTACTCTCACCCATGATGTAGCCATCACAATGTGGCCCTTGTCAAAGTCACTGAAATCCTTATGCTTGCCCATTTCTTCTGCTTCCAACACATCAACTTCATGGACAAAATGTTCACCTGTCACCTAATATATCCCCCCCACTTCCAGGTGCCATTGTAATATATGCCCCCCCACACTTCCAGGTGCCATTGTAATATGCCCCCCCCACACTTCCAGGTGCCATTGTAATATATCCCCCACTTCCAGGTACCATTGTAATATATCCCCCACTTCCAGTTGCCATTGTAATATATCCCCCCCACTTCCAGGTGCCATTGTAATATATCCCCCCCACTTCCAGGTGCCATTGTAATATATCCCCCCACTTCCAGGTGTCATTGTAATATATCCCCCCCACTTCCAGGTGCCATTGTAATATATCCCCCCACTTCCAGGTGTCATTGTAATATATCCCCCCCACTTCCAGGTGCCATTGTAATATATCCCCCCACTTCCAGGTGTCATTGTAATATATCCCCCCCACTTCCAGGTGCCATTGTAATATATCCCCCCACTTCCAGGTGTCATTGTAATATATCCCCCCCACTTCCAGGTGCCATTGTAATATATCCCCCCACTTCCAGGTGTCATTGTAATATATCCCCCCCACTTCCAGGTGCCATTGTAATATATCCCCCCACTTCCAGGTGTCATTGTAATATATCCCCCCCACTTCCAGGTGCCATTGTAATATATCCCCCCACTTCCAGGTGTCATTGTAATATATCCCCCCCACTTCCAGGTGCCATTGTAATATATCCCCCCACTTCCAGGTGTCATTGTAATATATCCCCCCCACTTCCAGGTGCCATTGTAATATATCCCCCCACTTCCAGGTGTCATTGTAATATATCCCCCCCACTTCCAGGTGCCATTGTAATATATCCCCCCACTTCCAGGTGTCATTGTAATATATCCCCCCCACTTCCAGGTGCCATTGTAATATATCCCCCCACTTCCAGGTGTCATTGTAATATATCCCCCCCACTTCCAGGTGCCATTGTAATATATCCCCCCACTTCCAGGTGTCATTGTAATATATCCCCCCCACTTCCAGGTGCCATTGTAATATATCCCCCCCACTTCCAGGTGCAAACGTAATGAGATAATCAATGTTATTCACTTCAACTCTCAGTTCACACTGAAGAGGAGAGCAGAGAGGAAGGTGTGAACACTGAAGAGAGGAAGTAAAGAGGATGTTGGAGCTCACTAAGGGCAGAATGGGTGCAGGAAGCGCTCCTTTCTTTTAGTATTACATACAGAATTATTATTTCCATCTTCTCAGTACAATGTGTGCACATAGTCGTGTTGTTTAGTAAGACAAAATGTTTTCAATAGCCTCAAATGTGTAACATCCGTATTGGAATATCACATCACTGTCACCATATGTTGTGTTTCCTCATAAGTGCTAATGCTAACCTCCGGGCCAACAGTAAAATACAAACATGAAATACATCTCGGGGGATCTGTTTTACCTGCCAAAGTATTTGCATTGCTGCCTATCCAGTCATGACATTTTCCCAGCCTCGCTACACAGCAAAACCCTGTCTGTCAGGAGAAGGAACCTTTTTTTTTTTTTGCTCTTCTGCAGTTAGGTTGCAATCACAGGTTTTTCCCTTCCCACAGCTAATGTTTGGACAGTGAAAGGAAAATAGCAGATTTATGAGCTATCTCTCTTTATTACTCTGTAATGAGTATCTTCTTGCACTGCAGCACAACTAATTGGCAGTGTCTCTCTCTCAGCAAATCAAATTGAGGCGTGTACACGGCTTGCTTTTAGAAAATGCATTTATTGCTGTATTGATAAAACACGGATGCATTTCATTTTATCTTTTATATCTGTATCATTACCAGATTTCACAGCATTCAAACTTGACGTCATTCAGAGACGTGTCGTCGTCGTCCGCTCCTTGGGCTTTTTCCACTCTGGTCTTGATGCCGCAAATTCCAAGTTGGCAGGCGCCACTCCAGCTTCCCCAGCCCCCCCAAACTCCGCCGTTTCCTTCCAAAATAGTTTGATCGGAGCACCGAAATTGGATGTTGTTTGCTGCAGTGTCGTCTCCAATGCCAATGGGTTGCTCAACCCTCAGGGAAAAGCTGGTGAGATACCCAGAGGGGCACCATCGTTCTCCAGTCCAACCTCCCCAACTGTTTAAAGACATGAAGGATGACCGGTCAGAAAATGTTAAAAGCCGTCATCTCTTCAATAGTCCACTACTGAATATGTCAGAGCTATATCAATGTATAATAATAGTGTGTGACTGTGGAGGGACATTAGAGTGTAAGCTCCTCTGTACAGAGACTTATGTGACTGTGTGAGTGTAAGCTCCTCTGTACAGAGACTGATGTAACTGTGGAGGGGACATTAGAGTGTAAGCTGCTCTGTACAGAGAGGGATGTGACTGGCTCAGTGTTCTCTGTACAGCACTGCGGTATATGGCAGAGCTCTATCAATGTATAATAATAGTGTGTGACCGTGGAGGGAACATTAAAGTGCAAATTTTATTTTATTTAAAATTATTTGCAAAATTGTAAATAAAATAAACTCATACAAGATGCAAAACATAAATAAAATTCCGTAGAATAAAATTATAATAATAAGTATTGTAGTATAAATATAATTTAAAAAAAACAAAAATTAGCTTTCATCAGCAAAATTAACAAAACAGAATACAGCAGAAAAAAAACAAAAACTAACAGCACCAATATAAACCCCAAAACTGTACATAGAACGTCATATTCAGACTACGGAACATGACCCGTCACATTACCTGGAAAATCTCGGGGAAGTGAAAGGACAGAAAATAAAGCCGCGTGACCCAGAGATCGGCAAGTACAGAGGTATGATATTACTCCACGCCTTTATCCAGGCCTGTCAGGGTACCGTGCGCGGGTGTCCCCACACCGCATGCAGGTACCCACCAAGACACCTGCAGGCGAGCTCAGGAACTGCAGGTACTGGCTCCAGCACCACCTGGAGGTGCTCTGGATTCTGACAAGGCCTCCCACCGCCACCTGTCTTTCTCAAGATCCCGAATCTTCCCGACCTCACCCAGCATGTTGTGCACCACCACCTCGACAGCAGTGACGTGCTGTACCTCTTGTTCCGGGTGAGGCATTCCCCAGCCTTGCCCCCAGCACGCCCCCGCCCCGTCTCCCGCCGGACGAAACACCACCCCCTGCCAGCTGAAGCCCCGTCCCCAAGCTAGTGTGAAGGGGAGACAGGGAGGAGCCTCCCTGTCCCTCACTTGTTCGTCACTGCTGAGGCATCAAGATCCATGGCCTCAGTGGGGTTTTTTTTTCTTTTTTTGATTGGACAGCTTGGACCAATGGCGATTTGCCATTGGTCCAAGCCATCCAAAGAGCTCACGCCTCTAACAAAAGTAGAGGCTGTGACAGCACTGGCTTCAATTGTTAGGTTACACAAGCAGTGGGGAAGCCCACTGGTGTGTAACCTAACTACCTGTCAAAAGCCAGATGCAGCGCCCCCTGTAAGTAACAAGCAGCGCTCCATCCATGACAGGTTACACAGCGGGGAAGGGGTGGGGGAGGATTTCCCTGCTGTGTAACCTGTTAGATGCTGATCTGAATGGAGAAAAAGCTGTCAGCGTCAGACTTGAAGCTGACAGCTTTTTTCTCCATAATTCTAGGTGAGGCTCTGCCTTCCCTGCCTCCCCTGACCGCACGTCCCTGCTCGACAGGGTGAACTTTTTGTCACAGGGAGACCTGACACCATGCATTCCATGTAAAGTAACGGACCACTAAGCTACCTAGAAATAAAGTGTCAAAATCAAAATCCCGGCGAGTGCGGAATGCCCCATACACCCACTCTGCATAAGCCATGCGGGAAAGGAAAGGGATGCCCAGAGCCCTCCCTACCCCTTTGTAGACTTCTATATTGAAAGGGCACCAAGCAAAAAGCAGTCCATAGTTTCCACTTCCCGTTCACACTCCGTTCTTGGACAACCGCGGCGATCCAGTGTACAGAACTTCAGATTCCCCTTCACATAGAGTCTGCCATGTAACGCAAGCTGGGCCAGATCCCTAAACTTTAATGGTATTCCCTCCAAATTAAAGTGACATTAAACCCTCAGATTTTTTAACATAAACCAATACTGTAATGTGCGCCTTACTGTAATCCATGGTAGTTTCCCTTCTCTTTGCTGCTCTTCCTTTTAAATCCTCATGTCTTCTCATGCTGGGGGAGAACTTCCCTTTGCAGCTGAGTGCCTCTTCCTGTAGTGCTGTCTCAGGTTGTGAACCTTCACACAGACACCATGCATCCATTCCAGAGACAAGGCAGTCTGCTGCAAAACAGGAGTTCTGCCCAGCATGAGAACAGATACAGAGCAGCAAAGAGAAGGGAAGCTACCATGGATTACAGTAAGGCGCACATTACAGTATTGTTTTATGTTAAAAAATCTGAGGGTTTAATGTCACTTTAATCAAACATAATCCCTGCTTCATAACTGGGCCTGGGCATTCCTTCAAGGCCAGTGGCTCGGAAAAGGCAGAAGCCATAATCCGCTTCTCAAGGGTTTTCCTTGGAAGGGACGTGATCTCCTTCGCTGTTACCTGCCACTGCCGAAGCATTTTCAGGCATGGGGTGACATAAGCCGGGAGCTCACCATGCTTGACCCTAAAACTTTTCACTGGCCCACCACTCTCCCAGCTCCACAAAAAAGGCCTAAACCCAGACTGAAAACTGCCCACCCCACCCAGGCGGTCTCTCTGCCGGCATGTTACCAAGATAATGGGGGTTATTCACTAAAGAGCCAATGGATCCAGCCGTAGCTTCGGCTGATCCTTCGGCTCTCGCAGCGCCCAGCGGGGAGGAAAGAAATCACGGATGCGCCGATGTATCGGCAGGAAAATGGCACTTTCAGCATTTAGCCAAAAGTGCCATTTTCGGCCGGCGCCCCCCCTCAACTGTGCGCCCGGGGCAAGCGCACCGGTTGCCCCCCGGGTTGTAACGCCACTGCCCAGATACCTAACCAAGTGGCCAGTGGCACTATCTTTGGCTAGCCAACGTTGGGGCCCAGAATGTAGTTGGTAAAGAGCTCTATAGATCAGCAGTAGTAAGGCCTGAGGCTGCTCACCAATCCTGCAGTGAACATGGCGGTACAGTAGTTGGTCAACGAGAAGTGTAATGGCACAGCACCTCTCTAGCCGACTTCTCCAGGATTCAAGCAGTCCCTCTGATTGGATAGACGACAGGCGATGATCCCTGGTACCTGCAGTCAGCGTCATGGTCAGTTTCGGCGTCCGTTCATGTAGGCCAAGCCACGGCTTATTAGCTCTGCACGAATGGACCAGCGTTCTACCGGCAGCCCAGTCTGATCGCTCTCCAGACATCCAGCTCCTAGCTTGTTGGCGCTCCAAACATAATGCAGAGCAGCTCCTCTTGCAACCACCACTAGCTCTACAGCACCCTCTGGTGCAGAGATTGTTGTGGCTGGCTCAGTGCTCTCTGTACAGCGCTGCAGAATATGTCAGAGCTATACAAACCTAGCTATACAGAGAAAAAATGATTATATACCAATCTAAGTTTTGTCACCTTCCCTAACTTAGATAATAATAAACAGGGGGCTCCAAGATGGTGAGAGTGCCACCATGCTGGAAGGAGCAGATGGACCCCACTGGTGTCTCTCTCTAATGGCCACCAAACGTAACAGCATTGGGGGATGTGGAGCTCTTGGATGTTGTGATACATGTAAAGATCTGTGGACATACCTTCCTTTAGTTGAGGATATAGTTCCTTTTTTGAATATAGTGGTAAGGTCAGAACAATAAAGCTCAATCCCGTTAAGAGCTGTGTCATCTAAAGGTCCTTGTGGCTTCTCTACCTAAAGTGAAACAAAAAAAACCCGATGAAAATGTCCCCAGGCTCTGGAAATCTTCTGCTCACCAATTCCTATTATTTAAAATATATTTCCAATCACTAAAACTCAAGCGCAAAAACTTTAACATGTTCATGCAAATACAAAAGTCATTTTCAATATTTGTAAAACTGCAATTTTCATTGTAATCATTGGTGGTGATTGTGACATGAAAGTCCTTGTTCAGACACATCCTGTTACAGGGTGACAACACACTATTCCTGTTTCCCAACTGTGCCACGTGGGTTTCCTCGCAGATGTGGTCTGCTGTTGTCACTATCCTGAGAAATGCCAGGCAGCCATCGTTGGTGTCAGTGGGATGAAATAAGATTTATCGTTGATGTCATTGGGATAAAATAAGCCCCATCATTGGTGTCAGTGGGATAAAGTGAGCCCCATTGTTGGTGTCAGTGGGATGAAATATGATTTATCGTTGATGTCATTGGGATGCAATAATCACCATCATTGGTGTCAGTGGGATAAAATAAGCCCCATTGTTGGTGTCAGTGGGATAAAATAAGCCCCATCATTGGTGTCAGTGGGATAAAATAAGCCCCATCATTGGTGTCAGTGGGATAAAATAAGCCCCATCATTGGTGTCAGTGGGATAAAATAAGCCCCATCATTGGTGTCAGTGGGATAAAATAAGCCCCATCATTGGTGTCAGTGGGATAAAATAAGCCCCATCATTGGTGTCAGTGGGATAAAATAAGCCCCATCATTGGTGTCAGTGGGATAAAATAAGCCCCATCATTGGTGTCAGTGGGATAAAATAAGCCCCATCATTGGTGTCAGTGGGATAAAATAAGCCCCATCATTGGTGTCAGTGGGATAAAATAAGCCCCATCATTGGTGTCAGTGGGATAAAATAAGCCCCATCATTGGTGTCAGTGGGATAAAATAAGCCCCATCATTGGTGTCAGTGGGATAAAATAAGCCCCATCATTGGTGTCAGTGGGATAAAATAAGCCCCATCATTGGTGTCAGTGGGATAAAATAAGCCCCATCATTGGTGTCAGTGGGATAAAATAAGCCCCATCATTGGTGTCAGTGGGATAAAATAAGCCCCATCATTGGTGTCAGTGGGATAAAATAAGCCCCATCATTGGTGTCAGTGGGATAAAATAAGCCCCATCATTGGTGTCAGTGGGATAAAATAAGCCCCATCATTGGTGTCAGTGGGATAAAATAAGCCCCATCATTGGTGTCAGTGGGATAAAATAAAATAAAAGTTCCATCAATATAATAAAGGAACACTAATATTGTACACTCAACCTCATTCACTATACCTCAGTATTAAAATACTAATAAATGGGAAAAAAATTTCGAAGAGTCGGAACAAGGTCCCAGAAGTAAGAAGCACTTCTCATTGGTCAGCGTGGTCATGTGACCACACTGACCAATAAGTGCTTACCCTTTGTGAACATTATGAGCATTCTATACTTCGGGGCTGGAAAGTCTGGTGTATGGACCGCTACATTGGCTGGTGGGCACTTCAGACATGTAAGTGCAGCGTGGGAATGGGGTAGGTGGTGTGGTATGAAGCTATTAAAGTTGGGCTTTGCCAAGTGATAATGCCGTAAAAAAAAAGCAATAAGCAATAAAAAATGGAAATTTGAATAACTCAACGGGTTTCGGAGTGATCGAATAGTCCCTCTTCAGAAGTACACATCATTTATCAAATTTATACCAAGCCCTTTGGGAAACCCATGCAAAAAAGGAAAAAAATGTATGTGGGGCCCCCAAAATCCATTACCAGAGTGTTATCCATGCAGCAGTGTGCCCCCCCTCCTGAAACATACACAGGTAACAGTGTTCATAACAACCACTAATGCTGACAGTGGGCAGAGCCTGATGGGGATGCTGAGGGACTAGTTCCCCATCAGGCCTGCCTCCCTTGTGACTGACAGTAGGCAGTGGGTGAATTCCATAGTCAGCAGCAAGCTATCCATTGGATATGGAATCCACCCGCAGTCTGCTGTCAGTCAGAAGTGAAGAGGACCTGGTGGGTAACTAGCTTGTCAGAGTTCTCCATCAGTCCCTGCCCACTGTTATTGTTATTGGTTGATAAAATGGTGCAGCGTTTAGCACCCAGTGACCCATCCTGTGCCCCTTGGCTTGTGTGGCTGGGAATTCCCAGCCATGTAAGTGAATGAGCTGGGTGACATCAGTAGTTGCTAAGGATGCGTTAGGTGAAGGCACCCACCACTTCCTTAGCAACCATTGACAGCAGGAAGCTGCCATAGCTGAGACCTTCCGCACATCTCACCCTCCTGAGACCCTCCACCTGGAGACATCAGGCTGGCACCCCAGAGCAGAGCGGCAGCACAGAGTACAGGTATGGTGCAGAAACACTGCACCTGAACGCCACAGATACTTTAGAAATATTGCCTGCTGTCTCTGTCCTGTGCTTTATTCTGCATTGCTGTATAAGGTGTTGCTGAGGTTTGTAGTCCTCTATAGCAGGCCTTCTTAAACTTTTTCCACCAGTGACCCCTTTTTGCACAAGGACATTTTTACATGACCCCGGGTACATAGACTCTCTATGGTGGGCTCTGCAGGGTCTCAGGTGGGCTGGTCACACCCCTGCACACCTCTCACCTGTCAGCCCCGATCCGCTGTGAGCCTCCTCCACCACCGGGCCCCACCTCCTCCACAGTCACTGGCAGGCTCCACCTTCTCCTCCGTCGCCGGGCCCCGCCTCCTCCTTCGCTGCTGGTTGTCACTGACTCAGCAGCAGCTGTAAGGAGAAACGCGTCGCTGCACAGATCACTGACAGGTTGTCAGTGACCTGGGTAGCGGCGCGTTCTTCCCCACAGCCGCCAGTGACAGCCAGCAGCCTGCGATGCCATAGCGACCCAGGCGGCCCACACGTCATCAGGGAGACCCCTTTGTTCCTCGTCCTGGGAATTGCAAGGTCTAATGCACTGCACTGAATGCTAGAATAAATCTATGTGCTGTATGTTTTATGGCCTGGATGGGCAACGGTTAACCAGTAAGAAAGACATGAAGTTGTTTTTTTTTCACAAGGTTTCAAAGACTTTGCAGGAAACTGTAAGCAAGAGCAGAGCTTAGGTTGGACACACAGTCTGATTCTGTCCTTACAACCTGGGCAAGGATTGGACAGTCACAGTTTGCAATTAAAAAAAATGACTTTTAAAGCCCAACTTCTGGGAAAACTTTTTATTTTAGCTCTGGATAGTATGGAGAAGGGTTAGAAGAACCTCTGTGTTGTGTTCCCCTGCTTACCCAGCCCCAGAGTAGACATCTGCTTACCACTTCAGCAGCCTCCACTCCCGACGGAGCCCCACCTTGCTCTGCAGCTCACAAAAAAGCAACCTCCGCCCCCCTGTACATACACAGGAAGGTACCAATACTACCAATTGTACAGGGGGGGGGGGGGGTCTGGACCATACTAAACTACAATCCTACCCCTGTGTCCTGTACACCATGCCGGTGGCGGACCCCGCATGTGGCACTCACGGACACCGATGTCTGTGTAAGGACACCTTGCCAATCCCTGCCGGGGATTTGGATTTTTTATCGCGACCCCCACATTCAGTTGCATGACCCCATATGGGGTTGCGACCCACACAAAAGAAGCCCTGCCCTATAGCTCGTGGTATTATTCTGCATTGTTGTATAATGTATTGCTGAGGTTTGCAGTCCCTCTACAGCTCGGAGTCAGCGGTTGCAACTGCGACCAAGTACTGGCGCTCCACCACTGTCCTAAAATCATTAGTCTGTCTTGTTTTAGGAAAAATGTTACATGGCACCAAAAATAAGGTATCGGTGTTGGTATCAGCGAGTACTTGATGAAAAGTATCGGTACTCGTACTCGGTCTGGAAAATATGGTATCGCTGCATCCCTTATTTTGATTTTATCATTTCTTGCTGTAAATTTTAATCCCGAAACATTGTCATTGAAGTATGAAACAGCCTTCTCCATGGAAGGGGAAACCCCTCTCCAAATACAAATAATATCATTAGGGCTGTTACTGATTAAAATTTTCGTGTTCGATGAATCAAAATTTTTTTTAATCGATTAATCAATTCATTTTGATCAAATAATAACGCACATACAGACCCAACTACATTGGCCTATACACATACCGCACAGCAATGAAGTAATAAAATGAACTAGAATCACACTAATCCAGCACGTTATTCATCTCACGTGCCCCACTCAATATGGCCGCCGCTTGAGTGGGGCAACTCAGAATAATAACGTGCTGGATTAGTGTGATCCTAGTTCATTTTATTACTTCATTGCTGTGCTGTATGTGTATAGGCCAATGCCTTGGCTGGCGCTCATGCAGAAAGTTTCAAAGAAAATTTAATCGATCAAAAAGATTAACGATTAATCGAGAAATTAATCATTAATTTGCACAGCCCTAAATATCATCTATCGTCTAGTACAGGACAAGGCCCGAGCCGAGCTTTGGGTAGGTGGAAACAACATGGTCCTCGAAGAGACCCATGTAAAGATTAGCAAAGCTTGGCACAACCTTGTCCCCATTGCTGTTCCTCTGATCTGGAGGTAAAATGTATGTAAAAGTACAGTAATTTCTAGTCATAATAATATGGATTGTAAAATAAATTTCCATTGGTTCTTAGGCACAAGGAAATCCTGTTTGAGATAATAGCTGCAACACCTTTACTATGGGGGATATTCCAATAAAGCGCAGTTACATCAAGAGTTAACCAGCAATGGTCAGAGGCCCTTACAAAGCTCTCGCTCTAACCCAGCAAGGGGCGCGTCAGACCTATGTAGAGAGAATGTTGCTTTCCCATGGAGAGCAAGTGTCCTTTTCTACAGCCTGCTGGCAGGGGACAGGCCTTTCTACTCAGGCTGCAGCTGCAACATCTAAGGAACATCTATTGGTGTGATGCTCGTGGACTTATATTAATCTAATTGAAACTGAAAGCTCAGTTGGGCATAAAGCTATGCCTATAGAGACACCTTTCAATGACACCTTGTCTTTTAAGTGAAATTGAGAATTTTTGAATCACTTACTAGTAAATTAAAGCCTCTTGCATAGGTTCCTGGAGGGCAGTATTCGGTCATTCCCCAGTCTCCCCAAGGACCACCATTGGTTACGGAAATGGTGTCACCGGAGATTAGTGTGGCCTGTAGCAGACACGCAGTGACGATGAGGCTCAGTAACATCTTCACGATGAGCTCAGGTAGCAGAACAAAAGTCTGGAAGGGTTTCCGAGGACGTCTCTGAAGCTTCCCTAAACCTGGTGAGTACTGAGCAGCTATGGCTGAGATTTATAGGACATCACTGTCATGTGATTGGGCTGAGAAATGATGTTACTCTTCCAAGTGATGTCATGGAAATACAAGCAGAATGTGAGTGAAATAATGGGGTTCTTTGTGTGTTAAGGAAGTGTGATGTGCATCCATGTGCAATGTTTGTAATGTGCGGTGCATACAGGATAGACAGCTCACCGTTTCAATATTTTAGTTTGCAAGGAAGCAATCAGCATCCTGGATAGTCTGCCCAAACACACAGCTCCAGAAAGCTGGAAGCAGGATATGGCAGACGTGTCTGGGTTTTATTAGCAAAAGTATCAAACGTGTAAAAAATACAAATTATTAATTATATATATTTATATAATATGTACCAGATAAAACGCAACACTTTACAATCCCACCATACAATCTCACCATACAATCTCACCATACAATCTCACCATACAATCTCACCATACAATCCCACAATCATTGGTGGTCAATGGCATTTAAAAAACCTGCCATCCGTGGTCAGTATGGTTGCCACCTTAACACTCTTTTACTGTGCAGCAATTTTGGAGAATTTACAGGTGAGAGTGAGGAGAGACAGTCAGGTGAGAGAGAGAGGAGAGACAGTCAGGTGAGAGTGAGGAGAGACAGCCAGGAGAGAAAGCAAGGAGAGACAGTCAGGTGAGAGAGAGGAGAGACATTCAGGTGAGAGAGAGGAGAGACAGTCAGGAGAGAGGAGGGACAGCCAGGAGAGAGAGAGAGAGAGAGAGAGAGAGAGAGAGAATAGAGGGCCAGGGGAAATAGAAGAGACAGCCAGGAGAGAGAGTCAGGAGATACAGCCAGGAGAAAGGGACAGCCAGAAGAGAGAGAGTGAGGAGAGACAGCCAGGAGAATGAGCGAGGAGAGAGAGAGAGCGAGAATAGAGGGCCAGGGGAAAGAGAGAAGAAACAGCCAGGAGAGAGTGAGAAGAGACAGTCAGGGGAAAGAGAGGAGAGACAGCCAGGGAAGAGAGAGAGAAGATACAGGCAGGGGAGAGAGCGAGGTGAGACAGCCAGGAGAGAAAGTAAGGAGAGACAGCCAGGAGAGAGAGAGGAGAGACAGCCAGGAGAGAAAGCAAGGAGAGATAGCGAGCAACACATCCGCCTTAAGCAGAACCCATGTACCCTTCAAGACTGAACTGCACTCTGTTTTTCAGATACCTCTCTGCTCCCTGAGTTCCAGCATCCCTCTGTGTCCCGTGCCTCCTCCATGCACTCCAGGTGGAACACCAGGACCCCCCGTGGTTGCCCTTTTCTGGCTGACATTGTGATATCTTGTGTTAAGGTTTCAACTGGCCTGAAACCCGGACACAGAAGCTACAGGACTGTTCGGTTGAATCCTGGACAAGTGGCAACCCTAGTGGCCATTGACACTTTAAACCCCACAAAAAGAATCCCACAGTCATTGGAGGTCAGTGGCATTTTAAACTTTCCACCCCCCATCATTGGTGGTTGCTGGCACATTAAACCCTTTACATTTTAAACTAAAAAAATTGTCCCAAAACTGGTGGTCAGGGGCACGTGAATAAAGCCTTCCCTTTCCCTGCAGGCTCTCTCTCCTGTACCTCTTTGCCTGCACTGATCATCCTCCTTCCCCTCCCTCCATTGTGATGGGGAGGGCTCTCAAATGATTGCTGGCCATCACAGAGATCACAAGCCACTTGACAATGGATGAACGTGTGCACACATGATGCACGTTCACTCCACACACAGGTGTGAATGCAGGCTAAAGTTTACTCTCCTCTTCAGTGCTCAGACCTCCATCTCTGATCTCCCCTACAGTGTTCAGACATCCTCTCTGATCTGCCCTACAGTGATCAGACCTCCCTCTCTGATCTCCCCTACAGTGTTCAGACCTCCATCTCTGATCTTCCCTACAGTGATCAGACCTCCCTCTCTGATCTGTCCTACAGTTTTCAGACCTCCCTCTCCGATCTCCCCTACAGTGTTCAGACCTCCATCTCCGATCTCCCCTACAGTGTTCAGACCTCCATCTCTGATCTCCCCTAGTGTTCAGACCTCCCTCTCTGATCTCCTCTTCAGTGTTCAGACCTCCATCTCTGATCTCCCCTACAGTGTTCAGACCTCCATCTCTGATCTCCCCTACAGTCTTCAGACCTCCCTCTCTGATCTCCCCTACAGTCTTCAGACCTCCATCTCCGATCTCCCCTACAGTGTTCAGACCTCCCTCTCCGATCTCCCCTCGTGTTCAGACCACCATCTCTGATCTCCCCTACAGTGTTCAGACCTCCATCTCTGATCTCCCCTACAGTGTTCAGACCTCCCTCTCTGATCTCCCCTACAGTGTTCAGACCTCCATCTCTGATCTACCCTACAGTGTTCAGACCTCCCTCTCCGATCTCCCCTACAGTGTTCAGACCTCCATCTCCGATCTCCCCTACAGTGTTCAGACCTCCCTCTCCGATCTCCCCTCGTGTTCAGACCACCATCTCTGATCTCCCCTACAGTGTTCAGACCTCCATCTCTGATCTCCCCTACAGTGTTCAGACCTCCCTCTCTGATCTCCCCTACAGTGTTCAGACCTCCATCTCTGATCTCCCCTAGTGTTCAGACCTCCATCTCTGATCTCCTCTTCAGTGTTCAGACCTCCATCTCTGATCTCCCCTAGTGTTCAGACGTCCATCTCTACTCTCCTCTTCAGTGTTCAGACCTCCATCTCTGATCTCCTCTTCAGTGTTCAGACCTCCATCTCTACTCTCCTCTTCAGTGTTCAGACCTCCATCTCTGATCTCCTCTTCAGTATTGAGCCCGCCATCTCTCGGCACTGAGCCACCCGATTCCAAGTAAAGCAATCAGTACATGTCAGGTAGTTTGTCAAAACTTTATTAGCTCCGGAAGGCAGAAAAACATGATAACAAGTACAAGTAGATCAACAGAAAATAGATAGATAGATAGATAGATAGATAGATAGATAGATAGATATATAGATTGGCAGAAAAACATGATAACAAGTACAAGTAGATCAACAGAAAATAGATAGATAGATAGATAGATAGATAGATAGATAGATAGATAGATAGATAGATAGATAGACGGGTGTATAAATAGAAACACCCACATAGGGACATCATACCCACATATAAAATATATAATAACAATATTAATATTATCAATGATAATAAATGTGGGTGGGACACACATTTCAAGCTAAAGGCATGCAATCATTTATGGCCATGTCGGGGAGCCTTTGTATGTTTGCAGACCCCTCCATGATGTGAACTTGCATTGTTTACAGAACTGCATGTATTTTGTGACTGGTTCACTGACTGAACAGCATTTTATGAATGGCCAAGGGAAGGGATGGGCATAAAAATCATACTAGTTTTGTAGTCTATGAAAGCCACAGCTCTCCCATCCAGAAGTACAACGGGCATACAGAAAAATAGTGATCGGAGCAGAGAGGCGAGCAGTCACCGCAGCAGAACAGAGGATCAGATGGGTTTAGGT